TACATATACATACACACACATAGTCATTCGTAGTTGCTCGGTCGTTCGCGCGCGCACCCGTATACAACCAACATAAACTCAAATAAGTTCAAAGCAACAGCGAACAGCTGCGGTCATTGAACTTCAATCGCAATCATTTTTAACGTGTAATTGTTCTGTTCTCTCCGCACACACACACACACTCTCTCGTTTACAGGCTTGGGCTTTGTATATACATGGGTATATGCTATTTACAACTCCATTATATTATTCAATGTTACCGTTTGTCTAGTGATTTCCATTTTTAATTTATTAAAATTGATCTTAATATAGACACATTTTTGTTGATTTCGAATCATATCTCTTTCGTTTCGTTCGTGGGGGCATCAATTTCAATGAGTACGTTTTTTTTAGAAAACATTGGTCAAATGCCCGCCCAAAAAAAGAACATTACGACGATTAAAAGGAAACTCAAAACAATCCTGTACGAAGCAATAAAAATGAAAAAAAGAAACAAAAGCAAATACATACGCAAATGAAACAACAATCGCACTAAGAACGAACACAGTGTAGTCGACTTCCAACAAAAGCGAGAACTCATGTGTAAAATTACTTCGATATTTGTAAACCTTCTCATATTGTGGAAATTTATTTCAATCAATTGGCCATATAATACGTTCTCGTTGCGTTTTTTTCTTGCTTTCATTTCGTCGTTGAATAAAATGCACCCAATTTTAAACTTAACAATTTTTAATAAATAATATAAACTCTTTGACGGCAAGAATGGTGTTTCTTTTTCTGTATCATACTTAATGTAATGATGCCACTTTTTTGCCACTTTTGTAACGGCACTTTGTTACGTTTTCCAGTTTCATTTATATATGAGCACCACCTACGCTCAAAGAGTTTTCCATAAAACGATTTTAAATGTCGTGTTAGAACGAGTTTCAGTCTAGAATTTTCAGGTACATGGAAAATTGTATCTAAGCGAAAAAAAGAATGATTCCGTCATTAGAAAGGCATTTATTCAAGCCGCATGCTTTGAATTTTTGCATTTTTAATGCTCGACTTTTTCACTTTATCTCGCACATTTTGCATGCATTTAATATTCCACTCGTCGCAGGTATAAACAGTGAATATGGCAAAACCGCAAAGCGCCAACAACAGTATATGTCATCAAAGTGAACCACTCAATTTTTTACTTTGTTAACGACCAAATTGATTTCGATTCATTTTTTACATGCATCGATAGCCATTTGAAATTCATTCTTTCAGTAATGGCAATTGGTTTTCCATTAATGGCGATTTAATTTCCAGTTTCAGCCTAGAATATCAAGAATAGACCAGAATTATCTGGTCAAATTTTTTATTTACGTCAAATTATTTTGAGTCAAAAAAATAGACTTGACAAATGATGAAATGCGATGATAAAATGTTCGTTTTCAGTGGATCTGATGATTATTTTTAAATCTAATATTTTACAACACGTATCTGTAATGTCAAAATTGTGGTCCAAAACAGACAGCTCAAAGCGATTGATCTAAGTGAAGAAGATTTATTTTGCGATAATAAAAAATTTCAACATCATTTTTTGTTTCTAAATATAGAATAACCTAACGGATATTCGAATATCTGAACTACAGATCTGAATATGATATTCATTTCTCACGATTTCACACATGATTAAGTGTGATTTCAATCGAATATGGCACGAATATTTTTGCAAAGATATCTGTAAAACATAAAACAAACACAACAACCACTTGTCTATCGATTTTCAAAGCAATTATGATACCGCGCCGTCGTGTACAGCTTTCATTTATTTACCATTCAATCGATCGACCGACCGACCGATGGATAATGTGCTTCCTCTTGGCCAATTTACAATGAATAATTCTCATATCGACGCACAAATGATATATTGGTAATGATGGTGAATCGAACTGTGTATGTGTGTGTGTGTTTTTTTTCAGTGGCTATGCATTTTGAAATTTATGGAACGGATGTGGCTTATTGCTTTGATTGTGGTTTTGAATAATTAAAAATATTTAAAAACGTTCTAGACCATTGTGCAACAACAACACTGAGGCGTAGTGCAACCGAAATAATCAATGGTTGAATAGTAAAACCGAAAACGGTAAATGAGTGTGAGATAAAGAACAATAAAACATGGAATTCTCTCGAGAGTGAGGTCGATACAAATTTCAGCTACAATGAATTCACATTGAAAGTGCACGATTTCTCAAATGTTCGATCCGTTTCGATAATATTATGGATCGGTATCGCCGGCCGGCAATTAAAAAACTGTTTAATCTGAATTTAATTGCAGTGAAAACGATCGGCTGTCTTTCATCGATTCAAGCACACTCTGCAATGCTAAATAATAAATTACATCGGATTTCTGTGCAAATTCGCACATTCATCAATGTGGAATTTTCATATTCGTTTCGGTCTTTATCATATGCACGATTAAATGTGCCATTTCTTTCGCAGTCGTTTCCAGTTTATCAGTGAATGTGGTCATGTCGCTATTCTCGTAGATTGCCCAAAAGTGTTTTATGGTGTGTGTGTGTGTGTTTTTTTTTCGTTCGCACTCTGTCGCTTGTTGCGGTTCTTTAAAAGACTAACGAAAAAAATATTCTTATATCTTGGCACCCGCTATGTGACTGCGGCACATACATTCACTTTGTGTTTGTTCATAACTGTAGCCGCAGTCGAAATTAACTTTTTTCGTTCTTTCGTTCTTTCTTTCTTTTTTTCGTAAATCCGAAACGTTTTTTTTTTCAACATCCAAAAATAAATATGAAAATAATAAGGCTATCATCATTGCAAGACACAAAATGGTTATAGTTTATTTTTTTTATCAACGAATTTAAATGGAAAAGTTCAAAAGAAGATATGAATTGTATGTGCTGCGTCGCGTTTGTTCTCTCTGTGTGTGTATGAGCTAAGTTTAAAAAATTGGTTGGTTCTGTGTTCGAAGGAAGTGAGAGAGAGAGAGAGCGAGATGTACGTAGCGTGTTGATGACGCACACGCAAGGTCGTCGCGTACAAATTTAGCTATATAACTGAAGGTCGTTCATTGGACGATCACATGACTTGACTCTCTCCATTCTTTGTTAGTCGTTTTCTCATTCTCTCGCGTCGCACTTTACGTTGTTTTGTTGCCGCTTGCACACACAGAGCAAGCATACACAGCTTGTCATGTAAGCGGTGTGCCTGTTCTCCGCTTGTTCGTTCGCTCGCTCTCACTGCATACAGACACACACACACACACTCAACCACCAAATACCGGTTATTTGTGCGCTCGTATTTTCATTTCAACCAAAACTATATATATACATATGAAACTGTGTATGGTGAGCGCTCTCTATGCGAAACAAATGCGTTCACTGTTGCTATTTACTGCTGTTGCTGTAAACCAATACCATCGTTATGTTCATTTTCGCACTATTCGATATTTCGTTTTGAGTAGTAACCGTTTGCGTTCGAAACCAAGACCGCACTATCTCTCTCATTCGTTTGCCCTGTTGCTCATTAAACTCAATCGTTTTTGATCCACTAAATTAATAGTGAAATACAAAGTTGATACATACAATCACCGAAAAGGTCATTTTTAATGAGAAAAACGTTCGAAAAACCAGTAGACAATTTGACGCTCTTCACCAACAAGACACAAAACCGACAGAATAAAGGAAAAAAACGAAACGAGCGATCTTTTTAAACGACAATTTATTCGATCGTTTAGCCGTAATATTAACAAAGTAATTGCGTCAAGAATATATCGTTGAATCGTTCAGTTTCGTGTCCAGTCAATAAATTTTGTGCCATGGCACACTTGACTTAAATGTAGCAACCATATTTTAACTCGTCCACATTTTCGATCGAAGTGAACCTGATTCTTGGAAATGTTAATTTGACGCATATTCACGTTCAATGTGCAGATGTGTGAACAAGCCAAAGTGAATCATTTCGTGAACTCAATTATATGCCATTTTTATCGTATGTTTGCCTACCTCTTCGGCTTTCGATAGCCGACAAATTTATTGATGCGAACAAATTTCGAGGTATTTAACATGATTCATATGCATAAAATTCGGAATGTATTTTTTTGCATGCAAATCTACTTGAATTTATGACTTTCACATGGATTGAATGCGAAAAACAAGACAACGAATCGTCGTCAACGATCAGGAAAATGTTTTTGATTTAAAATACGATTGCGCGCGTGTATGAGTGCCAACTAGACATGAGCATGAGAATCCAAACGAAAATAAAAACCGTGATAGTGAGACCAACCATCAGCATATAAATTGTGATAACGCTCAAGTAATTTGTTCTTCGCGTGTGTTTGCGATAAGGATTTCTATTCTCTTCTAATTCCCATCCGTACGCTCTTTTTTGTCGCGTGTAATTTAAAAATCAGCCTACTACGCACCGATAAGCTACCGTATTTGTAACTGTAAATATTTGACATTGACAATGATTCGGTCTGCATTAGGTTTCCAATTCGAAATTTCGCACACTTTGAATTTCGAAGATTTTTATTTAATCGGAACTTTTTGTTAATTTTATCAGTTGCTCAAACTAACTGTATTAATTCAAGAATTTATGATTGAATCAACCCTTTTAATAAATATATGAGAAGAAATTATATTCTGTCAACTGTGTTCAATCACTTTGAATTGGAATTATATTCTGTCAACTGTGTTCAATCACTTTGAATTGGAATTATAATCAATTCAAATCGAATGTTTCCATATCAATTAATTGCTACTTATTTTTTCCCGTTTACTTTCAGACGCTTGCGATTTGCCTTACGTGTGTGATGCGTGTAACCTGTGATGTTGCATATGGATCATCCCAATTTAGTGAGATCGATGAACGAAACTCAATTGAATCGAATAATTCGCGTGTGAAACACATTGAAGCAAATAAAAAATGTCTACATCGGGTGGAGGTTGTTCGAGTGATTTAAGCGGCATTCGCCCAAATATATCGGTCACAAGTATCAATTGTCCATCGTTGGCTGTCAACAGTATTGATCTAAGCAATGAAAAAACGACAAATGCAAATAGTCTATCGAATAGTAGTGAAGCGCAGCACAATGTGAACAGTAAATCGAATAGTTTTTGTAATAGCTTAGTAAGCGATGCATCACCTTCACCAGCATCGGTACATCAGCAGCAGCAGCAGTTGAATAATAATCCGCATTTTTATGGAAACGGTAGCATTCGAATTGCCGTGCCAAAAATGGAAGAATCCGATGAATCTGAGACTGAACTATCGCAAATTGAGAATGCAGCAACGACCAGCACGACAACAGCACCAACGGCGGTAAGCATGCGGGCGAGTAACAATAACAAGAGTACACCACGGCCGATGTCATGGGAGGGCGAACTGTCCGAAAATGAGGATCAAATGGAAACCGATGCAAACTCAAAACCACCACCACCACCACCACCAACAACAACCACAAATAACAACGAAGTGGCAATGAATGCCATTTCGTATGCAACAAATGGAAATGCCGACAAATCAATTGTGAAACCTCGTGCGGTCATCACATCGGAGCTAAATGACAATACGGAGAAAATGATTGATTTGGATACAAAAGTTAAAATTAAACCGGAATACAATAGTTTGGCTCCGAACACGACGACGACGACGACCACGACGACAACGCCCGATGCAAATCATGCGATGATTACAATGGATGCAAATAAACGCTTTCCATTTGACATGTCCAATATGAAATTCGAAACGAATTTGCAGTCGCAACACATTGCCAATCAGTTTGCAACACAACAATCGACCCAGCAGCAGCAGCAGCAGCAGCAGCAGAATGATATCAATTCGTCCACATCGATGATGCGATCGAAAGCAAACAATATTTTACCGACAAATCCGAGCCCCGATTCAGCTATTCATTCGGTGTATACCCATAGTTCACCGAGCCAATCACCATTAACGTCACGCCACACACCGTACACACCGTCATTGAGCCGAAACAATAGCGATGCCTCGTACAGCAGTTGCTATTCGTACAGTTCGGAGTTTAGTCCAACGCATTCGCCAATTCAAGGCCGACACAATATGTATGCCGGTGGCAATTTCAATGGATCCCCATTGCATCACTCAGTATTGTACAAACCGATGATGGACGGAAATGACAACGCCAAGACCTTACAGCATCAACAGTCAAACGAAGAAAATATCCTGGAACCCGAAATCATTCCATCGGCTGGCATCTCACGACAGCAACTCATTAACAGGTATGACGATTTGCAAAATTCGATTATAGCTTGTGTCTTGACGTGTTGAAATTCTTATGGATTTTATTATCTTCTTGCAGTCCATGCCCGATTTGCGGTGATAAAATCTCCGGTTTCCATTATGGCATCTTCTCGTGTGAATCGTGCAAAGGATTTTTCAAACGAACCGTTCAAAATCGAAAGAATTACGTTTGCTTGCGCGGCGGACCCTGTCCCATATCGATTGCAACGCGGAAAAAGTGCCCGGCGTGCCGGTTTGAGAAGTGCTTACAACGTGGAATGAAATTGGAGGCAATTCGCGAAGATCGCACCCGCGGCGGTCGTTCAACATATCAATGCTCGTACACTTTGCCAATGCTCAGTCCATCGCTGGTTGATGGCACTTTGTTAATTTCCAACAACCGAACGAAGGCATCCAACCAACAAGACAATCTGACCGGCATTGGCAGTGCATCCAATCAACAGACCATTCCCACATTGCTGCAAGTATGTACATGTACATGATTTCTTGTTTTCACCATTGCCATTTCATTCTCACATGCAAAAATTAATTATTTTTCTTCTTCCAGGAAATTATGGACGTTGAACACCTATGGAAGTTTAGCGAAGCCGAAATAAATAAACTGAATCAAAATCAATTGTCTATGAATGAGATCAGTCGAAATGATGGTGCTGGCACATCATCGGCCACATTGGCCACGAACCCATTATTGGCTGGCCTCGCCAATAGCGAAGACACCAGTCCCGATTTAATTGCAAATCTCTGCAACGTTGCAGATCATCGACTCTATAAAATTGTAAAATGGTGCAAAAGTTTGCCATTGTTCAAGAATATCTCGGTGAGTTGATTGCCGGACGAATGTTTTTTGTTCGAAGAAGAATGATATCGTTAGATTTATCCGAAGAAAACGTGTTTTTCAAAAAAAAAAAAAAACAAACAAACAAGTTATTGATGTAAAAAAAAAAATCAAGAAAAATCGACATTTAAACTTAATCACCTTTCCTCTACAGATTGACGATCAAATTTGTTTGTTAATCAATTCGTGGTGCGAACTCTTGCTTTTCTCGTGCTGCTTCCGATCGATTTCGTCACCTGGCGAAATTCGCATCTCGCAAGGCAAATCAATCAACTTGGAACAGGCCAGATCTAGTGGTCTTCAGGTATTGAATCGATTTGATATTTAAAATGATTGTAAAAAAGAGGCAAACAATTTCTTCTCCAACAATTTTGAAGAAATGAATTTTATTTATATAACTACTAACGAAGAGTTTGATTTGCATCAACAGGCTTGCATTGAACGAATGTTGAATCTAACGGACCACTTGAGACGACTTCGTGTTGATAAGTACGAGTATGTGGCAATGAAAGTGATTGTTCTTCTTCAATCAGGTAAATTTTCGAGTTCTGTCTTGAAAATCCAGTTACATTTCATCCGGAATATTTTATTGAAAATTTCTAATTTGATCTAATGTTATGATTTTGTTTTCAATGACTTCTTTTTTCTTTCGACAAAAAGACACATCTGATTTAAGAGAAACAGAACAAGTACGCGGATGCCAAGAAAAAGCATTGCATGCACTGCAAACCTACACGTTAGCCCATTATCCTGATGCGCCATCAAAGTTTGGTGAACTACTTTTGCGAATACCCGAATTGCAACGAACTTGTCAGGTGAGATTTTTAGAAAAATGTCGACAAATTATTTAAATTCATTCAATCAAAACACGTCAACAGCTGTAAAATGCTTTGAGTGATGAAAAGAAAATAATTCGAATCAATGACTATATAATTAACACAATCCAAATCAATGACATCGACTTATAACTTCAAATTGTTTCAGGTCGGCAAAGAAATGTTGACAATCAAATCAAAGGACGGTGCCGAGTTCAATCTTCTGCTGGAATTGCTGCGCGGTGAACATTGACCATGTTCAATCAGTTAAATGCAACAAACATAATCCCTGTGTTGGACATTTGTAAATATAAAATGCAGTCAATGAAAGAGACTGTTCAACGATTTAGCGTTGCACATTCATGTATTGAATCAACCGGATCTATCCGCCATTTCATCTCCCAAATCGCTGCACAAGTCCTTGGCCAATGTTCTTGATTAAATTTTCAACCCGAAGACAACGAGTACTGATTTAATACTCAAAACCCGCACAAAACTGCCAGTTGCATCCCAAAACATGAATTTAAATCCTTTCAACTCGAATTGCCTTGCTTGAAACGTCATTTTTACAGTTTTACCCTAGCTTTTTTGTACTTTGATGCTAAATTTGCTAAATTTTGATAATGTGAATTTTTTTTCCACAGAATTTGTTACACAAAAAAAAACGATTTGTAAACAAAATACAAAATTGTATTTAAATTTCGAAAAAAAAGACTTGAAGCGCCATTTATTTGACAAGTAATCAAGAGAGCATGCCAAATGAAATTCAAGCCAATCGGAAGAGACAAAAAAAAACAAAGGGAATTTAATTTAATACAGGCCTTACGAATGATTGCAATATGAGCTATTTTGAATCGTTATCATAATGTAAAGAAAAAGAAGAAGAAAAAAAGAAGAATATTTTGTTTACGTACAATAGTGGAAAAATGAGCGACAAAGAGGAAACAGAAACTGATCGAAACGACATCAAATAGCAATAACAATGTTTGAAATTGAAACGTGATTTGAACGTCTTATGATTTAAGGTATCATTTTTCGCTGAATTGAACGACGCGATCTTATTGTAAATACTGAAGAAAAATTGATTTTCGAATGAAAATTGTAAAGAGAGACGAAAAAAATTGAGAATGTCATTCTACGAGTTAGATTCCGTGATAAAATCATGAAAAAATTCAATTTTTTTATTTTCATTTCGTTTAAAAAAAAAACCGAAATGTTTTTGCTTTGAGGTTTCATAAACACACACACACACATACCAACAAGTGTCATCAATGGAAAATGAAATCGATTTTATATAAAAAATAATAATTGCGAATTGAATAACTGTTGTGCCTTTAATAAGTACCATTTGGTATATAATAACGGAGAAAAAATAAATAAAAATACTTATAAAAGAGCCCCCCCCCCCCAGTAAAAATCCTTATTCATAACAATAATTATTAACAATGGAAATATTTTCAATAAATATATCTCAGATAGGTTAAGTAAGAGCGAACGAATTCATCGTTGAAACTAACTAGTGTGTGCATCGTGTGGCCACAACCGTCGCCATACATCTGCTGAACAAACAAAATCGACGATGACGGTGAGGGCAAAAGTTCGGATCACATCGATTTAATATTATATCACACACACATAATCTCTATTCGAAATGCGATGGCAAAATATTTCAATCGCAATTTCATTATCTGTGTTTATCTGCAACAACAATTTTATAGCAAAACCCAACAACTATGGACTGAAACATGAGCTAAATACTATTGAGAAAGAAAAACCAAGATTTATTCGACTTTTTTGAACCATTTTTTTTTGGAAACATATTTCTACACTATATATTAGATTTAGATGAATTCATGATGATGTGAAAGAATTACATACCGATTGCATTGAACGATATATATGACAAAAAAAAATATCCCGTGTCAAAGTGTTTGAAGAACATAAAGAAAACTTCAATAGAAAGTAAATTGCCGACTTATTTCAACGAAAAATAAATTTTAGTCATTTTTCTTCTGAACAAAAAACAACAACAACCAATTTCCAGTTTTTTGTCCTTTTTTGAACGTTTTTTAAAAATGTTTTCTTGAATAATTATTAAAAAAAACAAACAAACAAACAATAAAATGTTGATTTCTTCGATTTCTTTTTCAAATATAAATTCAAAAAAGGTCTATAAATCTTGAAAAACAATTCACTGGAATTTGGTGAAAACCGTTCGTCCTTTTGCCAATCAATAAGTGCCATTTATTTTTTCTTCTGAAGTATTTTTATGCATTTTAAGCACTTGAATACGTGGTTAATCAATTAAAAGAATGAGAGTGGTCTGTTTTCATCCTTTCAATGGTTATAATGGCATTCAAATATAAACCTTAAACATTTAAATACTTGTATGTGTATCTATTTAACATAAAGAAAATCAGAAACGATGAAACAATATTAGAGTTCTAATTTTATGTCAGATTTTTTCTTTGTCTATTTTATGCTTAATTTAATTTGTTTGTTTTTCATTCCAGCGGCGAAGATGAGAGGAGATTTAGTTTATCAGACAGAAGAGTAGTAAACAATTCATTTAAGAGCTATATATTTCAATTTCAGTTTCAATTTTACAAGATTAGTCTCCATTTTAAATGCAATTCATTTTTTTTTATTGAACCGAAACAAAAATAATTTTGTTATTGAAGCAAAGATTCGATTTTTTTATAAGTTCAGCTCAAGTACTTAATTTTCATGAAAATTGACACATTCGATGAGTGATGGTCAGAGTGTCTGATTTATCGGGAATAAAAAGGATTTTATGGTGCCATATGATTATTTCGGCTAAAACTCAGCCAAAAATGACAGAAAATTAGATCAATTGAACATGCCTTTTTAAGGCTATGTAAACGAAAATCCTTCGACAAGATGCAGCTTTCGATCAATCTTCTTTTGATTGCATCAAATCAAAGCATAGACAATTTTCATGTAGCATTTAATTTAATTTGACATATAAATTTGTAAATAATATGTGATAAAAATTCCGAAACAATCTTGAAATTATTTTGCCACATTACGTACCGTTTTTTTTATATTGCAATTGAATTCAGTTGGTAAATGACCATAAAAATGACACAATGAAAGTTAAATAACCGACTCTTTCCACAGTAATTTAGTTGAAATATTACAAATGTTATTTTCCGAAATTTGACAAATTATCTTTTTTCGACAAAAAAAAAACAAAAGTCGGGCCATCAAACGGATAGCTTCTCACACAGCATATTTCTTTTCCTTTTCTTTCAAAAACTGAATAGCGATAGACAATTTTTATATCTATAAATGTGGATTTTTTAAGCGGAATTTTTTTCTAGACATTTTGATACAATTTACTCATTAAATGCATACGCGCAAGTTCATGCATATTGTACTGAAACTACGAAATTGAATAAAATATTTATAAAAAACACAGACTGTCTTTCATTTGCAATTTTTTTTCTTCAATTGACTCATTTCATCTTTTATATTTTGCTTCGTGACAAGAAACATAGTGTTTGTTTACATCAGAAGATTCAATGCCCGACAGTAGATGGCGACTGTGAGCAGAGATACTTTTCGCACATGTTCCAATGAGATATTGAAAGTACAGAAGCATTTGTGCAAGGTAATGTGTTTGAATATTCGAATGATAACGGAATGATCAAATTGTAAAATTGAAGCGGTTGATTGAATAATTATACTGATTCTCTATTGAATTATTAACTCTATATTCTTCGTTTGTGTGTCAGAGGTAAAATTAAATAGTTTGTAAATCGTTTTCATATATTATACATACTTTCAGTCGGACATTTTTTCCTGTATACTTTGTAAGAAAATCAAAAATTCTTATTTCATTGCTCAATTTGCAGTTGGGACACTTGCCAGTCGATTCCGTATCAATTTTTCCGCTGACATACAAACGATGAATCGATGCATAATCAGCTTCATGCTATGATTAGCATATCTTAGTCAAAGGGTTGTAGTGATTTGCGCACGAGAAAAACATTCCTCTGGAAATGCTGCTTGTCTAACACAGAACAAAGTCATTTGCATAGGTAAATTGAGTTTCAGATCGTTAGATAGTTAGAAATTCGGTATTTGTTTGATTGTTTTGTATTTGTTTTTTTCTTTCGCCGATACAGAAACAAAAATATGTTTTCAGTTCGATACTTTCTTGACATGAATCCGATTGGATTGATTGAGAATGAAAAGAAAATATTTTAAAAAAAAAAACACCGACGGTTTGGCACCGATTTCGATGGTTCTAAATAATAAAAGCAACAGTCGTTGTTAAGTACGTAGAGTATGGCTAGCACGGGAATGACGTTTGTTTGACGTATTCCGAGTGTGCTGGGCCACAACACGCATAAAAAGACAGCGCAAGAGAGCGCATGGAATGAAAAGAGAGAATGTGGCATGAGTGAAGGCGTGTTTATGTGTGTGCATGTTTCGAAATTCATTGAGTTGAAACGTATAACAACAAGCCAATTTCTCACTCACCGTCTCTCGCACACCTTGAGCACCACACACTCTCTCGCACAGCGTATATATGTCTGTGTGTTACAAACAATGTGTGAGCGAGAGAGAGAGAAATGAGCGAAAGAATTTGGTTTGGACAGAGAGCGGAGAGCGTTGAGAAAAATCTTGTGTGTAATATATATAGAGAGTCAAAACATTTTCTTCTCACTGAGTTGACCGTCAGTCAATTGTGTATGTTCAACCAAAACAGAGTTGTTTTGATTGTGCTGACGGAGATATCGACAATTTAGTTCTCTTTTTTGATTTTATATTTTTGAAGTTTCTCTTTTCCACCCGTTTCGAGCATTGTTTGAAGAGAAGCAACAACGGTAGCAGTAATAATGTAATTCCAATTGAAATGCATTCGACAAATCGTAGTGAAACATTCGAATCGCGTGTTATAAAATGAAAACAATTTGCTCGAGTTTGTGAATTTATAATTGCACTTGGGCTGCAAAACAACAGAAAACCAACAACACACAACACAGCACACAACTTGAATCGTCGGGTCCAACGTTTGGTCTATAGATTTTCTCTCGCTCTCTTCCAAACGTGGTCGTCGTCGTCGTTGTGTTGCTCATTCAACATTGTGGTTACTACGGTAAACAAAGTGTGCAACTTTATAATATAGTAACAAAAAAAAAGAAGTAATCATTTTACACAAAACCCGAATCGAATGAACAGCGATTTGGACGCTAATTGTGGAAAAATCGAATCGAAATTGCGAAACAAAAACTCGAATAAAGGCGGCACAATTACTGATCCAAAAGAGAAGAGTTCGTGTGTTGCTGTTTTTTTTTTTCGTTTGAGAACAAAAAATAAAAATCAAGTGAAATGTCAACAAAATAAATGCTGTCGAAGTGAAATCACTCAAGTTGAATATGAATGAATTTTGTGATTTGCGGCCAAAGTGAATGTGGAAAAAGAATTTACTGAATGAATGAAAACATTTCGAGCACCAATCCGTTTATTTTTTTTCTGTTTGGCTTGTCTTTCTTGACATTTCTCGACAGCAACATTGAAATAACCCCAAAAAAATAAAATAAAATTTCAAGTACATCCAGCCAGGCCTCAACTAATCGATCAACCGAAAATTTCTCTTTGTGAATGCGAACAAGAGATGACAAGCAGCGAAAATTCATCGATTGTGTTGTCTAATTATTGTCTTTCTACCTTCCGTCGAATCGAACCAAATATTTGTGCATTGTGTAAGTGTTTACCATTTTATTTGCGTTATGGATTTTTCAAGCATAAATTTGAAGTTGATTTTTTCATAACGTGTACTTTTTTCTTCTTCTTGTTTTCTAATTGCAATTCACACTTGTCTACTTGAATAATTGAGATCTAATTACGGTCGCCTTCGAATAGAAAATCTTCCGTCTTTTTTGTTTAATATTTTACATGACAGCGACAGTAACGACGTCAACAACGGTTGTGGTTTGATTTTGTACGCAAAAGTTTCCGCACTAGAAAGTTTCATGTAAATCACTCTTAAATAAGTAGAGCAAAATGTGCGCGTCACCGACAAAAGTTGTTGACTGATGAATTTCGTGAATCGGCTCCGACCACTGAATTACAACTATTCAGTTTTTGAATGGCACTCGAATTTGCCGCAATGAAATGCGAATTTGTCTCAAGCAAAGCCGATCTTCTTTTTTTTTCGTTATGTGTATGCGAAAATAATTTTCGTAAATTTACAATTTAAAGTGGACTCGATTGTTGTTTTGGTCCCTCTGTCAGACTGAACTAAAAAAGAAATAATTGAATTTATCAAGATGTCGCTCGTTGAGCTATAAACAATAATATATGCATGAATGAAGCATTTGAAAAGAACGCGTGGCTTTCTTTGGATATCTCATTAGATATTTTGATGAAAGTTAATCGAATATTTTGATAAAATCGTGTACACACACACATTTAAATGTGTACCAGTTGCCCCGCATTCCGCAACGCTATTTTGAGCTTGAATTTACTCGGCTTCTGCTGATGATGTATGTAGAGCCAAACGAAAAACGACGAAACGCATATTTTATTTACACAGAAATTGACGAGATATAATGAATGAGAGTGCTGAACGGAAAACAGCCCCAGCGACAAATGTTTATAATATTGATAAAGTCAGTCATTTGCAGAGCATTATATTGAGTTCACCGCATACAACGCCGTCGTCGACAACGACGACGACGACGACGACAATAATAGCGACGCTTAATGTAGATTTCATCAGCATTTGAGCCGTGCATTTTTGTTCTGGCTTCCGCTTTTCTTATCGCCGAATATATCGCATTTGATTGAAATGAGGCGAGCGGGCGGGCGGATGGATTGTCAGGCATGCCACGACAGCGCAGCAACATTGCAGAGGACATGGCCATGTTCAATTATTCAATTGCGTTCAAAACTTTTGGATTTCGGCCGAGCAATTTTGGAAGTTTTTGGGCGACAAAACGTTTAGGGCTCTTATCACGATAAATACAACGATTTATGCGAATATCATGTCTCTTCTCACTGTTGCTACCTCGTACAGTTTCGCTGTCTGTGTGTGTGTGCTGGCATCTACTTTTTTCAGAAAGTCAGCTACCGATTTGTGTTTTTTTCTCTGTTGCTTTCAAACCGATTTATTCACTCTTTGTACGTAATGCGCTGAACTATTCAAATAGAATGACTTATCAAAAATGGTGGTGTGATAAACAAACTCCATTCATCCGAATATGTGAATCGGTTGAAAAATGCGTATGCACACAACTGGCGGCTTTGAGTAAACAGCGTTGCAATGCAAATCCCGGATCAAAAAGACAGGCATACAGAGCTTGAATAGAAAATAAACATTTTATTCATGGCAAAACAATAAATAATTTCTGTGTTTGCTCACTTAGCCCAGATTTTCGCTCATTTTCATGAGTGTGAGTTTGTGTGTGTATGCGACGCGAAGTTGAAAATGTTTGGCAATTATGACAAACCTTCAGCCACCTCTATCAAATTGGCCTACAAGTAGGATTTTTATTTTCAAATGTCGCTAAAACCGCGCGTTTATTTTAACGATGCGATATTGGCAACCAGCATAAAACTACAAAAATTACAAAATTTCCAAATGAGAGACGTGGTTAAGTATGATTAGATTTTGGTTTTGAAGTTGATGGTTCGGCCGACTTTCGGTGTCATTTTAAGGCTTAAAATGTCAATTGACCATTGTTCGCTCATTGAGATGAACAAATTGGAATATGGCTGATGAACATCATTGTGAACGAGATGAAAATTACATGAGCCGAGTTGAACTCGACCCAGCCGCACCACACAGCACGTGTGATTAGTCAGCGCAAATGATGCGATACGCTCTCGTATGTTGATAACTTGAGTGACACAATGGCACAGCAATGAGAATGTGTGATGTAATTAATGAGCGAGAGACAAATTGCCGAACATCCATCAAGAGCAAAAATCATGCGCTTGCCATTTAATCAGGTCAAATTATTCAATTAACAGCCAACTATACAAGTTCAGTCTCGCGTATGCTTATGGGCACCCGTCAAACATAGATGAAACAACCATTGACATGGTGGTCATAGCCATTCAACTTTTAATCTCACCGACGAAGTCGATTTTCAACTTAAACAAACAAAAAGACAACACACAACCAGAAAAAACAAAAGCTGTCGAAATATTATGCTGTTCACGGCAAACCAACAAACCCAAGCCGCTTCCATTGATACTGTTGAAGTATTCAAGAGGCTCGACCTGCTCAAGTAGGTTAATGTGTTGCCTATTGTATCACTAACGGACCTCGGTAAATTGGTTGTGTGTATGTGGTATTTTATCTGTAGCATTGCTCTTTTTTCCCATATTTAGAAGCCTACCGAAGCAAAGGTGATGAAAAGAGTAGCGTAGTTCAAATAGCAACTATTTGTGTGTTTGTGCTCGGCAACCAGACTAATTCTCGAAATTGAATAGATGTTTCAACGGTTTTCTATTTCCATTTCAAAGTTTTCCTCGCATACACACACGTGCCGTTTCAGTGCGAATTTCAACAATAAATCGCTTGCAAACTGCTTCTACCTAAGCCTAGGACCAGAGAAAAAAAAAACAACAACAACCAAAAAGCCAACTTATGGTATTCTATATCTCTGTTTCGGGCATATCACACGTAGCACTAATTTGAGTTTTATCGAAAATTTCGGCAAGTCAGCACAAAATATGTTTCGATCTACTCGGATCGAGCACGAATATTTCTCAAATAAATGTTTCACTGCATTAAGCAATGGCAATCGAAGTGGGCGTCGAAGCGTATAGCTGTGAATAGTCGTTAAAGTCGGCACACAATACAACAACAACAACGGTCTTCGTAATTCGAATAGATAAAAAAGAATGTGTACACATTCCAAACTGCTCTCAAAGAGATAGATACATGGGGCCGGAGAAATACAATACAGTGGAAAGTATAGTCGTTTCATAGCAAAATGGCCAATGAAAATGAGCGATCCAATTATGTAATAATACAGTCTTTCCTATATGGAGAATCACACAAGAACAAAAGGCTTGAGGGAAAAAACAGTGCAAAATTTGCCGCTTTTCCTTTTGTATCAATATTGGCTTTTGCTTCAGTTTTAAGTAAACGATGGCTGCGTTTTTTCCTATCTTCAGTGACTCTCCAATGAAATTCGTGCGCTGCAAGCGTTTTCCGCTTTTGTTTTCCAAGAATTTCCTTTACACCTTTAATTTGATTTCAATTTCCTTCGGCATCCGTCTCCGCACCGTGTGTATCTCTTGCATACACAAAAATACCGGGCACCTCATTCCACACACTCACAACGAAATAGTGTGCTGAGTCCAACTATTTTTCGCATAGCACATGCATTGCAGGCGAAGAACTTTTTCAGCTTTTCATATTTTTTTTTCACTTCAAACGAAGAAGAAGAAGAAGAAGAGTAGCATTCAGCGTTGAACGAAGAAAAATAAGGGACGGTGCACTAAATTTGGCCTTTACTCGTCTTTTACCGTTTCCTCATCGTCCATCTCGAACGAAATGAATTCCATCGTCTTGCCAATTTTTTTCCCCATTCTTCCGTGCATTTTCTCGTAATTTTTTCCCATTTTCTTCTCGTAATAGTGTTTACGAACAACACACATTTTCGTCGAAGGTGCTTTCCAATTTGTTTTTTATTGAGCATTTGAGTCCGTTGCCTGACTTTCTGTTCGATACGCTGCTGCTGCTGATTTTTTCCTCCATTTTTTGCAATGCTGATACTGAAGCAGGAACATTCTTGCGCTCATTTCAATTCATAAATTCACCGAATAACGATAAATTTTGATCGTTGCAGATTGCGATGCGACGATGAATTTTATTATTTTTCAGGGCCCAAAAATTGCAAAACAAAAATGCGCCCAAAAATTGCAGAACAAAAATGCGCCAATCACCAATTCAACCTATAGAGATAAACCCCACGTTTCGCCAACCATTGAACCGCTCTCTTTGTCAATGGAATTGAATGGTTTTCTTCCCCCTCTCTGTTTCGAATGCGAATTAATTTATTCGACTGCAAATTGCAGAAATATTTTAATGAATTGGCGTGTTGTCAAGTGCAGTTCTGAATAAGCATATCGAACACACGTATATAATTGGCGCATACCAAATAATGGCCAATTTAAAAAGGAATGCCCATTTTTGTAACAAAATCAGCTCGATTATTTATTGACATTTGCGTGTGAGTCAAAAAAAAAAACACTCGCTCATTCAACGCACTCACTTGCTCACATACATAAAATTGCATAAAGTATCACTTTCGAGACAATGTATCGAAATTGAAACGAAAAAAAAAACACAAGGCAGCGAGAAACAACCAAATTCAATCACACTGTGGACATTCTTTATTGACTTTTTCGATGTTCTATCGAACGGTTTTAATGATATCGAACACCGAAATAACTGCAACAACAGCACAAAAATCGGACCAAAAAAGCTGGTGTTTCGAGCGAGAACAAAAAAATATAATCAACATTCCAAACTGAAATCAAAACATGCCGTTGTTGTCAAACATGTGAATTGTGTGTACCGACCGCCCAGATATTTCACGTGTTCAATTAGAGTGCACAAAAGAGCTTAACCAAACGGTTTTAATGTGTTGTCGTGTGCTAATAAAATAAATGACACCTTCAAAACGTCAATGAATCGACATTTTGTACTGGAATCATTTAATTCTTTCAGATAAAATCTATC